GGGGGGGGGGGGGGGGGGGAGTGGTCAATCCGCCACTGTACGAAATAATACCTCGACGTACGAAATTATATCGCGTACGTACGAAATTATATCCCGTACGTACGACGCTTCAAGAGTCTCTACTACCAAGTAAAGTAAAAGTAATTATCTCGTACGTCCGACTTAACAATCTGGTACTTACGAGATAATAATATCTGAGGCACCGACTGCTCATTTCCCGACAGCGCTTATGCCTATCATGCATTATTATACTCGAATATAATAATAGCACTTATTACAGTAAATAGGCCTATTATGTGTGATACAGTAAACAAAATTGAGTAGGGCCTAGTTGAATACGTATTTTTTATCCATGAATCAATGAGCCCCAAAGAGAAAGTGGTGGGGGTGGGGGAGGGTCAGGACCCCTGACCAGCCTCAGATCTACCAATGGGAACTGAAGATTTTGGGGTAGTCTTGGGGATTGGTGTTGTGTTAAAATGTTAAAGACTGTTATTTGGTTTTTTTAAAAGTGGTCCCGAATTAAAGAGGCCTTGGAATTAGAGGGTTCTCGAATGCACTGTATTTTTACACAAATAATCGTTGCAAAAAAGGATTCAATTAAGATCGGCGCCAGCCTTTTTCAAGCGAGTAATTTTACACTAGCCGATGACAAAGAGAAACACCGTTGGGAAGCTCTCGGTCCCAACTGTACCCCCTCTCAGTGACCAGTCGTCGGAAAAACTCTTAAAGTTAAAAAAAAATAATACAGTGCACCCTTAAGTTCGAGACCCCTAACTGGTTGTTGGGATGGCGTATCTAGCAGTATTAAAATGGGGGGGGGGCGACCAAAATATGAGGGGGCGTGGAATTTATTTTTGGTGGCCACGCCTACTGAAAAATATTGCATCTTAGATTCCCGAATACACGTTAACCGTGACAGATATGTTAAAGTATATCTCTTGAACGCAGTATTTAAGAAGTGAGATAATACCATAATAAACAAAACGAAACTTTTATTGTCGATTACGATTTCTTGCCTTAATTAAAATTACCGGATTGTTTTAACAATAGATAGTTTTATTTTAAATAGGCTTACATCACCAATTCTGCATGCACCAGGAAAATTACTATGCTAGACCTTTCGAGGCATCGAATCATACCAACAGTTTTAGAATAATTTATGTGTGTATTTTTTATTATGTGTGACAGCAACCATTTTAGTGATCATTTTTATAAATATTGATTATTATTATTATTATTATTAGTTGCTGTGAAATGAAGGACGAATAAATACATAATATGGTGTTTTGATGAACGTCAATAAAGGGAAGTTGAGAAAGCATTAACCCATTTTCTTGAGCATAAGCCTGCCTAATATTTTTTGCTTCGAAGTTTTTGAATGGGGGAGTGACTGGGGAGGGGGGGCGCATGCTTTTTGTGGGTGGGGAATATGCCCCCATGCCCCCCCCCCCCCTTCCCCT